ACTAAAGCAGAGTTTATTCAAAGCCCTTGTTGTGTCATGTGGGTCCCCCAGATACAAATACAGACCCAAATAGAAGCAGCTTTTCTGCAGTCAAGCCAAGTGTATTCTGAGGATGCTGGAGTGACTCTCAGAACTCCTGGTCAGGCCAGGGATTACAATACTGTCAGAATTTTCCCTCCCTACTCTTACTCTGTGTCTCTTCCTAAGTACAGGCTTCCTCTTTCTCACTCCACTTTCCATGTGGTGAGAAACGTATTGCATGTGGCTCTGGAGTTGGGCATTGTACAGCTTGAGCCACAGGAGAGACAGATGTCTGTTCCAATCCTGGCGTCTGAGGAAGGGAATCCAGGCTTCCCCACTCTTTCTGGGGCAGTGGGGTCCTGTGAGAATTGGCAGCTCTGAGGGACTCATGGAGTGGACTTGGGGGAGAAAGAATCCTTACAAGGAGGAGGAGGTGCTGTTTCCCGTGGAAGAGGGGGAGCCTCCAAGTTCCCCAAAGATGAGGTGTCTGCCTGTGGTGTTCTTGTGCATTCCTGAACATTGAACCGTGGATCTGAACGTCCTCTTTCAAGTCACTTGGCAGACTTAACTTAGATATAATCTTATATCTTTTTTTCCCTTCTGGCTTCTTGTCAACCACAAGCTTTAATTATAATTGTTCTTCATCAGGCTTGTTCTAGAACTTTTACTCATTTGTCCAGTTGATCTGAACAGAATTAAAAGTTCAGTTAGATTTAAGAGAGCAGAAGGCTGAACTATCAACTCCCCATCATTTTTGTGGTCTAAAATCTATGTTGCCCAGTTATGCTCAGCTCCTCATTAATCTGTGAAGTCAGTAAGAATGCTCTTCAGGGAGTAGTTGGAAATATTGCACAGGTGAAAGAGATTTTTCTTCATCTCCATCTGGTTAAGTAATCCTAACACCAAGGAAAAGAAAACTGAGCATTGACTTCCATACTTTGTGTTTAAGATTTGAGTCATTTTTCAACCGATAACTACTCGGATAAATTCAGAATCCACTAAAAATAAAGTTCTGGGTAGTCTTTTCCATGCTTTACAGAATATTATTTCCCACAAAGCCTCAGTATTTGTTTCGAACCCTGCCTTTTGCTGGAATTTAGGATTAAATGAGTAGAATCTGCTGTCTGGTTAGGCCCCAGATGATTGTCATTTCCATGGTAACAGTTGAAGGCCTCTCAGTTAAAAGTGCCCCCCGCAGGCTGGGAAGAGTAAAAGTGTGAAAATGAGTTTGTCTAGGAAGCCCAGTTCTCATCTTCCAAATTAACCAGAGGACAAACAATCCAGGGGCCTCTTGACAGGTGGGACCCTCCGTTCCGCCCTCTGGGAGGCAGGAGCAGGCATGTGTGTTGATTGGCTTTGCAGTTGCCCAGGTAATTGTCCCTATTACCCATGGAGCTCTCTGTGTCCAGCCACAGGTCATGGACGGGGGTTTGGGAACAATCTGATCTGTGCTCAGACTTGAGTGTGAGTCACAAAAAGCCCATTAAGAATGGATGAAATCACAGAATGATCTTAAAGTTGGAGGGAACATAAAGGGCATTAAGTCCCAATTTCCCATCTAATTCGGGAATCCCTTCTGAAGCGCTGCTGCCAGAGTCCACAGGGGAAGCCTGCATTTCTTGGAGTCCCTGCTGGAGACCTACTGGCCTCAGAAAGTGGTGCCAATAAATTGAGTGTGTTTCTCTCATAATTAACTTTTTAAATTAAAAAAATGTTTTCCTATACCCCCAAAGTCCTCTTTTCCACCAGCTGAGTGGTTCCAAAAACTTAAGACTGTGAGGATCAGCACCTATGTATTAAGGCATTCTGTGGGGAGAGGGCGGTTTCCTGGTGACACCAGACCCTCACCATGGTTGCTTGAGTTTTGTCTGGGTTCTCTGGCAGCATTTTTTCTCAGCATCATTTGTGTAGGTTGAGAATTGGTTACAGTGTATCTGTGTTATCCTTTCTCCCCATGAAGTATTCATAGTTGAGAGCTTGCAAATCTAAGAAACTCAAGATTAGATCAAACCAGTGGCCTCAGCAGTCTTCTGAAGGGTGTGGAGGCCTTTTGTGATGTTACCTCAGAAGTTAGTGAATACACTGTGTTCCTGACTGCCTTAATAATCTCTCAACCCTTCATCTGTGACTTTATTCATACCCTTGGCCTTTTTTTATTTTATGCTTTCTTTTTTTAAATTTTATTAAGGTATCATTGATATACACTCTTATGAAGGTTTCACATGAAAAACAATGTGGTTACTACATTCACCCATATTAATTATCAAGGCCCCCCAATACCCCTTTGCACTCACTGTCCATCAGTGTAGTAAGATGCCACAGAGTCACTACTTCTCTGTGCTACACTGTCTTCCCCATGACGCCCCCACACCATGTGTACTAAACATAATACTCCTCAATCCCCTTCTCCCTCCCTCCCACCTGCCCTCCCACAAACCTCCCCTTTCATAACCGCTAGTCCCTTCTTGGAGTCTGTGAGTCTGCTGCTGTTTTGTTCCCTCAGTTTTGCTTTGTTGTTAATACTCCAAAAATGAGGAAAATCATTTGGTACTTGTATTTCTCTGCCTGGCTTATTACACTGAGCATAATACCCTCTAGCTCCATCCATGTTGTGGCAAATGGTAGGGTTTGTTTCTTTCATATGGCTGAATAGTATTCCATTGTGTATATGTACCGCATCTTTATCCATTCATCCACTGGTGGACACTTAGGTTGCTTCCATATCTTGGTTATTGTATATAGTGCTGCAATACACATAGGGGTGCATGTCTTTGAATTTGAGAATAGAACTTGTTTTCTTTGGGTAAATTCCTGGGAGTGGAACTCCTGGGTCAAATGGTATTTCTATTTTTAGTTTTTTGAGGAATTGCTTTCCACAATGGTTGAACTAGTTTACATTCCCACCAGCAGTGTAGGAGGGCTCCCCTTTCTCTGCATCCTCGCCAGCATTTGTTGTTCTTAGTTTTATCAATGTTGCCCATCCTAACTGGTGTGAGGTGATATCTCATTGTTGTTTTAATTTGCATTTCCCTGATAATTAGCGATGTGGAGCATCTTTTCATGTGCCTGTAGGCCATCTGAATTTCTTCTTTGGAGAAATGTCTGTTCATATACTCTGCCCATTTTTTAATCAGGTTATTTGCTTTTTGGGTGTTGAGGCATGTGAATTCCTTATGTATTTTGGATGTTAATCCCTTGTCGGATATGTCATTTACAAATATATTCTCCCATACTGTAGGATGCCTTTTTGTTCTGCTGGTGGTGTCCTTTGCTGTACAGAAGCTTTTTAGTTTGATGTAGTCCCATTTGTTCATTTTTGCTTTTGTTTCCCTTGCCTGAGGAGATGTGTTCAGGAAAAAGTTGCTTGTTTATATTCAAGAGATTTTTGCCTATGTTTTCTTCTAAAAGTTTTATGGTTTTATGACTTACATTCAGGTCTTTGTTCCATTTCGAGTTTAGTTTTGTGTATGGGGTTAGACAATAATCCAGCTTCATTCTCTTACATGTTAGCTGTCCAGTTTTGTACCCTTGGCCTTTTTTGTAAAGTTTAAGTTGTACCTTTTAAGAATACTTTCTCATATGTGCCTTATTATTAACGTCTGTTGTTTTTAAGTTGATGTCCCCTATCCCCCCCAAAAATCCCAAAACCTAACAAACATTTTGTCCAAATGTTTCTATAATTTTGAAATGGTTTATAACTTAAAACTCCTAAACTCAAGTGTTGCTCAGTGCTGACTGAAAAGTGCTGAGAAGCAAGTACATGGCTTCCACTTGGTAAGGAAAAAGTCCTAAGTAGATGTTCTATTCTGGTTCTAAAATATCAATAGCTGTGTGACCTTCAGCAAGTCACCAAACTCTCTGGATTCCATTTTCTTCAAGTATAGAATCAGATGAATATTCTTCCAGGTTGTTGGGAGTGCTTTGAAAACAAATTATTTGGTATTAAGACTTTAACGATAACTATGCCATGATAATCTGGGGGCATTTTGAGAGTTAAAAAAAATTTAATAACATAAGAAAATAAAATATTGATAATTGTTTATTTAAAACATATATCCAGAGTTTCAAAATAAAAGTGGCCAGCCTCTATTGGATTGAGTAGTAAATATGTGCCTCACATTATATTAGGGAAGAAAATTTCATAATCTCTATAAGAATTTCTGGGTGGTATTTGATGTGGTAACGCAGTTGAGGGATAAATTGTTGCTGTAAAGAAGTGGCATTGCTTGTGGAGAAATGAATTGGGTTTCCATTGGCAGGAGAATAAGTGTCGAAAGCCAGGGAGTAAGTCACTTAGTTCTCAATTCTTAAAAAAAGGTGGTTGGAAATAGCCCCAGGAGCTCAGTGCAAGCCAGCCATCTGCACAGCGGTCCAAGTGGGCTTTGGGGGGTCTGAGCCTGATAGGGACCTACTCTTGGATTCACAGGAGACCCTCCTGAGCCCCAGTTTTCCTTGGAAACTCTTAGGGGCTTGTGGCTGGGGCTGGCTGCTGTGTTAGTGTTTGGTGTCTAGCTCCAACTGTTTCCTGTGAAATTCCAAGGGCTTGAAACAGGCCCTTGTGTGGCATGTGTATGTCCTGAGGACTTAAAGATGGCCCCTCTCCCTGGGTGTTGGAAAGTGTGTTGTTCTTATACACCTGCTTTTTACTCAAGACTGCACTTTATATTTGGGGACGTAGAAAGCAAAGGAACATCATGTCTTCTCCATACAGGGGTCTGATGACAGTTTCTTGGGGTTATTACTTTGCTTCATATAGTTCTACCCAGAATATGATCCTGTCTAGACCTTGGAAAGAAAGTAGTGTTTTGTTTTATTTATTTTTTTGGCAGTATCCCTTGAGTATTTATTGTGCCTAATAATCCGATTACCTCTGAAGCTTTTTTTGGGAGGGGGGGAAAGACAATTGCAATAATCTTTTCATATTAGAAATCTGAACCCCCCATTCCTGCACCCTGTTGTGTGTTCGTTTCTGCCCCCAGGGTGTTCTGTCCAATATCTCTTCCATCACCGACCTCGGAGGCTTTGACCCGGTGTGGCTCTTCCTCGTGGTGGGCGGAGTGATGTTCATTCTGGGGTTTGCAGGCTGCATCGGAGCACTGCGGGAAAACACTTTCCTCCTCAAGTTTGTAAGTACCACACTCTGCTTCTTTGTTTCTCAGTTGAAAGATGAGCTCTCATCTTATGCCAGGAGGATACCCTGCCTATAGGCCAGAGTGAGCTGTACCAAAGGTGCTGGCTGAAACATGGCATGGCTAATGCTTTTCCTCTAGAACTCTCCAGATCACCCCCACTGCATACCTCCTTGATAATATAACCCCCCAGGCCACCCATGGGGGGTTTGTACATGTGTATAGTGATTTTGCATTCCAATCCTTAAAATAACTCTGGGACTAAGGACTAAGGTAGGTGTATGTCTGTAGTTTCCTTCAAGTGATTCCCTCCTCCTCCTCCCTTCATTTAATCACATAGAAGGGAGCCATTCAGATAGTTGGTTTAAAGACCATACATGAGCTCAGTGGCTGTGGCCTGTCCAGATTAAATCCATCAAACCCTAGAGACTTCAGAGGTTCAGCAAAAGGCAAAGCTCCCTTGTTCTCTGCCAGTACAAAATTCTCCTTTGGTATGACCAGCATAATTTTTACATTGCTTACAGGGTGTTTAATGTGATCACCATTAGCATGTGTATTTTGGGACGAGGAGTTTTACCAAGGGATGGATGACTAGTAAAAGTAGAGGGTGAAAAGTGAAAGCCTTTCCTTTGAGATTCTCTCCAAAGGAGAACCAAATGGCATATGCTCACAAGTATGCATCTGAAATAGGGTCTGATGAGTGTTGTCAAGGTCGGCCGAATGTGCCTGTCAGTCTGGAGCTTGGCATTCTGGCTGGCTTCTGTATCCCAGCCGTCTGTGCAACAGCATCCACTCCTTTTTCCAGGAGCAGAAAAAGGATAAAAACAAGTAAAATTTTAAAAACATAAAATCTCACCTTCTTATGGTGAGGCAAGACGGTGGGCTTTCTAGACAACAGTGTTAGTGTAATATCCTAGAATGTTCCTAGAATCATTGTTAACATCATCTCAGGATATTTTCATTTAAAGCATGAACACATACTGGAACTTGTCCCAGTAGCCATGCAGCACATGATTCTCGTCCTCGGCACATCTGCCACACCAGCTTCTGGCATCTTCTCCTGAATATCTCAAGGAAAAGCAGGGACTCCTTACCCCACCCAGGATAACCCCTTTCGAATTTGGGCAGCTCTGGCTCAGAAGAAGCTTTGGAGGCTGTTTAACCTGAAAATTCATATGACTCATGCTAACAGGGAAAGCCAAGGGGTACGTGGTCCTGTGTACAATTTACAACACACAGATTTATGTGTATACAGGAAGCTAGTTTCCCAAGACTCCATTTGCCTTATCTCCCACTTCCCTTTTTTAACACCCCCCGCCCCCCCACACACACGCACGTGCGATTTCATTCCTGACCTAGTCAGAGACCTGTGGAGTCTCCAGCAGAACTTTGTCCCTGATCATAACCTGCCAACCTGCTCAGCTGGGCATGAGGCCCTTTAAATGCTTGAGCTCCCCTCATTCAGCTTTTCTGTAGCTTCCTTGCACCTCAGATCATACCAGGTGCCACTCTCTTATCAGTTTTAACCTCCATACCCCAAAACGTGGGATCCCCTTTAATATGATTCCCTTGGGTAGTTTATAAGAGTGGTCTCTTTAAAAAAAAAATGGTTTACTATTTTTGTAGTTGAAATGCTGTAAATCAGCACCTTAATTTCTAAAGTCCCACTTGGAAATGAAGATAATTGTGTTGTTCCTTGGCTTTTTTAAATCTTGGAGAATACTTTAAATGGCCTCTCTCTCTATTTAGTACAAACAATAAAAGCTGGCCCAGAATATTCTCTGAGCAGGAGTTATGAAAGAAATAGGAAATAAATGCCATCATGATTCCAAATCCAAATAGCCTCAGAGATCTGATGCCATAAGGTTTGGAGAATTAATGAGGGGAAAATCTGAGAGCCAAAATACTGTGAAATAGAAACAGAGCTTCCCAGCTGACTGAGGGCCTAGGAGGAAGCCCAGGAGTCAGTCTCTGTGCCTTTGGAAATGGGGAAATTAGTTCACAGAGCCCAGGGCCTGCAGGTTTCTGCCAAATATTTGATAAGAATTTAATTTGGACTCAGTTTTTGATATGTATATTATATAACATCACGAGAAAATTTTCCAGGGTAACTGGAAAATGAACTTGTCTAACCTTCATGGAGGTAAGCATGAATGTCATTAAGGTCTTTGCGTGGCTGTGTCCTGGTGCTCTGTGTGTGCGTGAGAGCCTGCTGTGACTTCCTCATGTCTATAGTGGGAGAGCTGCCATATGTACATGCACACAGTGGTACCTACTAAAGGCAGGGGAGTTGTTTTATACAATAGGACAAGCATTGAGTAAAAAGTGATAGTACCTTTTTTTTTTTCCTTTTTTCTAGATTGCAAAAACCTTACCTTGACATTATTGGTACTTCTGATGATAATTAAAAACTGTTTAGATTCTATTCCAGCGAACTGAACTCCTCAGTGACAGATAACCAGGAGCTCTGTGGAACCGAAGGGGCTGATCTTGAGGGTGTTGAACTGGGGCCTAAACATTAAGGTCCTAGACTTTGCCCACTTATTTCTTCCTTCCACCCTTGCCCTCTTGCCCACCCTTCCTAAACCACACTGGCACCCTGAATAAATGCTGTTAGCTACACTGCATCTGTTGTGAAATGGCACCCCTTCTCTCCCATGCTCCCCCAGCTCCAGATAAGACTGCAAGGGCTTTGGAGGCAGGAGTACAGTCTTACCATCCTTGCCTCTGCAAAGCCTATCTAGCCCCGGGCCTGATCTCTTGTGACTCATTCAGATGTTTGCTGAGTGAATAAATATTTTTTGTCTTTTTTTTGTTTTAATCAGTGACTCGATAGTTTCCTTCGCACCCCTGCCCTAGTACATTTTTCTCTTGGTTGGCTGCTTGATGTCTGCTTGCTGAACACGGAAATAGCAGACAGCCTGCCCCCTCTGCTTCCTCAACCATGCACTGTCCACAGCCTGCAGGAGCTCTGCTGAGCAGGTGTGGGGCCCTGTGTCACCTTTTCTGTCTTGCTTACCAGAAGTTTGCCTGCAGTTTACCCTCTGGCCCTTCACAGCCCCATTTCTCATAATCTGTGTCAGAAAAAAAAAAATGGAAAAGGGTAAGATGTGGGGGAGGTGGGGAGTGGAAAGCATCGTGGGCGTGAACAGTATTTTGATATGACTAAGGTGAGGCTCTCCTGAGGCTTCTAGAATAAAGGGGAATTTCTCCAGGTTCACCAGCAGTTACCACATTGCCCATGGTCTCCAGCCTTTGTTAAACTCTTGTCCACATTAGCTAGACGTCTTCCTTTGGCTCTGCGTTGATATCATTACCTTCTGAGACTGGCGCTCACAAAGGAGGGCAGCACGTCCAGTCCCTAAGAAAGCCGCAGCCCAGGGGTTTCATTTGGTTTCCGTGAGGGGAGATTATGTTCATGTCACAACTACCTCTGCCCCACTTCCTCTTTGACTTCTTCATCTGAAATGAACATATCTGCTATTTTACCCCTTATAGCAGGTGCAAAAGGGGATGAAAACAGTGTCTGAATCCAAAGATGGAATAATATTGCATACAGGATCAAGGCCACACAGTAACAAATGGCAGGCCATCTTAAAATGTTGGGATAATTTATCTTTCAACATTACAAAAGCTTACTAGAGGTAGGGGCAGGTCATTGTTTGAGAGTCTGGAAGTACATTAGTCAGGAGAAATTCATTAGGCCTTAATATGGGTTTAATGAGAAGTTCTTATTATCCATGTTTGCTTATGGGCTTTGTTGTTTAATTATCAAATGCAATACCAGAGCCCCTAAAATGTGATCATAAAATAATTTTTAAAAATCCTTTCTTGAGTGTAATATCCTATTAATGAATCTTAAGAAAATGGAGACAATCTGCTGTGGACATGTGTAACAGCCCAGTGTCACTGCAAACCCTTTTCTTAGAAGGAACCATTTAAGTATATCTGGTCAGAGATGGTCCTTGTAACTGTTCTCTTTGTATGTGTCTCTTGTCTTAGTTTTCTGTGTTCCTGGGAATCATTTTCTTCCTGGAGCTGACTGCTGGGGTTCTGGCATTTGTTTTCAAAGACTGGATCAAAGACCAGCTGTATTTCTTTATAAACAACAACATCAGAGCATACAGGGATGACATTGATTTGCAAAACCTCATAGACTTCACCCAGGAATATGTAAGTTGAAAGTTGGTTTATTTTCATGTTGAAAGCCTTCTCAGAAGGATGACACCCACCCACCCCCGCCCAAAGGCCCCTGGTTCTGCCGTCTGCCCGCTGGAACCGGCCCCGGACCTTTCCGCATGGGTGTTTGTTTGCTCCTCGTGTATTTATTATTTTCTCACTTACATGATTTGTACCCTACATGGAAATGTCTTCTTTTCCCTTATCTGATTTTCTACTAAGCTAGAGGAATAAACAAGACAACTCTTGAGCAAAAAGGTTTTAATCACAGTTGCCCTTTCCTATTAGCATCTGAAGATTATTTTGCTGTAGGCTTAGTGTTTTATTTGGTATTAAATGTGGATTCTTTCTTGTTCCTGGCCTGCTTGTTGGTCACCCTCTACACTTTGCTTATCAATAGACTGTGTGTGCACGAAGATCCTAAAATATGCCTCTCCAAATATGAGTATAGTACGTGCAGTGACAACTGAAAGTTGAGAAGCTTCTAAGTGCTGGTGGCTTCTAACCAGTGAGCCCCCACACAGTAGGGCCGCCTCTCACTCAGGCTCCTAAACATTATTACTGTGCCATGGTCCCTGTGGGGCAAGCGCAGCACCAGAGGCTGCTCCCCTCAACGTGCAAAGTGATGTAAGTGGGGTTGGAAGACACAGATCTAGTACCAAAATCTGGTTTGCTGAGTGACCTTGGGCTAATGGAACCTTCACCTATTTCCCCAACAATAAAATGGAAATACTAGCCACTGTTTAACTCATGGGATTATTATGACACTCTAGTAAGATGTGCATGGTTTTATATAAGGCTTAAGGTTTTACTGTTCTGCAAACTGAGAAGTCTTTACTTACGTGCTCTCAGAAACTGGTGAAGCTGAGCAGAACTGGACTGCAATGCCTGCGCCAGTATGTATATGGCAAGACTGGAGGCAAGCAGGACTAATGGACTGATGGCTATCTCTGGTCAGACAGTTTTCCAGCAAGAACTGGAGTTCCCTTTGACAGAGAGAGGAGGGGCTGCCTCAGCCCTGGCTGTCAGGAGTCCCGGGGCATTAGGCATGCAGAGCTAGCTGAGCCTCACCGGTTGGCTTTGTTAAGTGGCAGCGATGAGTGCCCTGGAGTAAGCCACACCTCAGGGGTCACATTAAGCCCTGTTCCAGCTCCTCAGCAGACCTCACTGCTTTGGCAGGTCATAATGGATGTGAGCGCACACCTCGCCCAGTTGTTGCTGACTGGTTTGCACGACAGACCTGATGGAGCTCTGTAGGCAGGCCTGCAGATGCACAGCCCAAGCCCTCAGGGGACGGGATGAGTTGTATACATGTTCTTGAAGTGTTCTCTGCTTTACGTGGAAATAGTGTTGTTTCATGTGATTATCTTTTTGTCATGGAGTTTAATGTGTTGAAGTAGCTACTGGTCCTCAAAGCCTAAAATGGTCAAGGCTTGATGTTGATTTAACTTGGAGAAGTTAGAGCTCGTCCAGGCCAGAGGAGTGGCCTGGGGCTTGGGGACTGAGCAGCCATTGAACTGAGGCCCTGCTTAAGACCCACTGAATTTAACAGCTTGTTTTATTGTATGTTAATTAGATGATAGAATTTTTTTTAGTTGAAAATGTAAATAATGCTCTTGTTTTAAGAAAATTCAGAGTAGAAACAGATACAGAATGAAAAGTAAGCCTCTAAAGCTTTTGGGGGCAATGGATATGTTTACTATTTTGAGTGTGGTATATATGTCAAATCTTATAAAATTGTACACTTTAAATATGTACAGTGTATGTCAGTTATACCTCAAAACAGATTTTTGGAAAACCATTAAGGTGTAGAGACCAACGTTTTAAAAAAGTAAGCCCTAAGACCTCCCACCCCACTACCCCAGTTGCCTCCTTTGACACTACCACTATTTAGCATCTTGTTTATCCTTCTGGAATGCTCCTCCATGTACCCAAGCCAGATAGATCTTGTTCTACCCGAGCTCTGCTGTACGACCGCTCTGCCCTTCTTCCACTTTACACCATTCTCATCTGAACGCTCATGTGAACGCTTTAGATCACATGCCAACACATCCTTATAAGCCTTCAGCCTTAATTACTTTGGGGGCTTTTGCAGGGGCCCTTTAAGTTCAGTTTGGTTTAAAAATAAGTTCTGAGACAGAAGAGAAGGTTAGCGCTGGCAGAAGCTGGGTGCCGGCCTTTTTGGCGGGTGTGCGTGTAGGCGCCTGGTCTCCTCCAAGTCGAGATGTTCTAATTCTCTCCTGTTTGCTCTAGTGGCAGTGCTGTGGGGCTTTTGGAGCTGATGATTGGAACCTAAATATTTACTTCAATTGCACAGATTCCAATGCAAGTCGAGAGCGATGTGGCGTGCCATTCTCCTGCTGTACTAAAGATCCTGCAGTAAGTGAACGCCAGCACCTTGCTGGCCTGCTCTGCGCCTCACACCGAGAGTGTGTGTGGGATGAGCAGAGCGATTGTTTTTCTTGAAACCTCCTCTTACCTGCTTATTCCTAATTGTAGCGCCCGTGGGGGTATAGTGCTCAGATCTTCCCAGTAGGGGTAATAAACGCTGATGTTAATTTAGCGTATATGCTGGTTCCTATTCTGAGCCTTCTTGTGCGTTGGCTCACTTCGAAACATTCCTACTGGCAGACCTAATCATTATCTTCCCTTTTCAGGTGAAATCAAGGCCCACGGAGTTTAAGTAACTTTCTCGAGCTCACATTGCTAGCAAGTGATGCAGCTGAGCTCCGGACCCAGGCAGCCTGCCTGTGTCTCCTCTTATTCCTTCTTTATGAAGAATAAGAGGGGGCATGTATGAAAGCTCTCTGCATTGGTTTGGGTCAGCAACCCTTTTCTTCCTAAGTTCTGGGGGAAATATTAGGAACAGGAAAAGAGTAAGAGACAAGATTGGGCTCGAACACCATATAGGAAGACCACAGCTGCCCAGACTCGGTGGTAATGACTATAGTAATTACAGTTTGTATTTTATTGAAAAAAAGAAAATACAAAAACTGCTCATAACCCTTTAGCGTGGCTTTGATTATCTTTGGGGTCATGTGCCAGGTACAGAGAATGACTTAAAATGCAACTCCCTATTTTAAGTTGAAAACCAGAACTGAGAGTTAGAATGACAGCTGTGAGAAGCTACTCCTGTACTCGTCCCTTCCAGATGCTCCAGCCTGTCTCTGGCCCATCAGCCCCCAGGTTTCCCTCTCCAGACCTGCCCTTCCCCTCATGAGCATAGCTTGTGGGGGCTGATGGGCTCAGTGGCAGGGTGGAGGGTGTGGGCTCTTTAACAAGGGCCATGGTCTTGGGGTGGAAAAGCAGAAGTTGCCGCAGGCTGCCAATCAGGGGCGTTAGAGGGCTGTGACTCTTGTTCTGAAGGAGAATTGAGAATCAGTAAGGACTGTGCTCCCTGCTCCGGGACCTCACTAGGAAAGCTGGGTCCCCACTAGCTCATTTCTTGCTTTCCTCTGAGGAGGGCCAAAGGGCAAGAGAGTGCCCAGCCCAGAGCCCCTGATGCCCACTGAGGCTGCCTTGTGCTGGCCAGCACGTACAAGCTATGCTCTGTCTCCAGTTCCTGCCCTGTGTTAACATTCCATCAGAAGAATTCTGAAGGTTCTCAGAAGGCGCTATACCTCCCCTTTCTACTGCAGATCTCTGGACAGAGATATCTCATTCCATAAATGCTAAGCTAATAGAATCCACCCGCTCTGCCGCACAGGAGAAAAATAAACAAACTGAGAACAGCACAACCTGCGTTTCTGATCAGGCCTGTGAGTTGTCAGGGCATCTGTCCATGTGAAATGTGGTCAGGGCATTGTGTTTACTTATTAACATAATGCATTTTTATTGAAAAACCATTTACATAATATAGAAGTTTTCATATTAAAAAGTAGAAGTCTCCCCAAGAGAGCATAAATAGAGATAGTCATTGTGCCCTTTCAAACCATGGTTTTTATCTATGTCTCCAGTTCCCTAAGCCCCATAAGCTTCTTGAGGTTGTCAACTTTGAATCTTGAGCCTCCAGCAGATGGGCTTGCTGTCTGTCCTTCCTGATATTTTCAGAGCATTGGTTTTCCTCTTTTGGAAAAGAGGGCATATTTTAATACTTACTTCTGAGCACTGTTGCAATAATTATACGGGATAATTATAAAAATGCTCAACAGGTACCTGGGTCGTCTGTGTGTCGAAATACCCATTTTATTACCGACACTTAACAGGGATCTTCTGCTAATTTCTAGTTGGGCTTTCCACCTAAGAAGAGTGAATTTCACTTTCCTGTTTTCTTTCTCCACCAGGAAGATGTCATCAACACTCAGTGTGGCTATGATGCCAGGCAAAAACCAGTAAGTGGACTCTCATCTTGTCACTTGTCACAGAGGGTGTTGGGAGGAGCTTCTGACCTTGCGTGGTGATGCTGTGTCTCCTCTTTCCTTATGAAGGAAGTGGACCAGCAGATTGTCATCTACACGAAAGGCTGTGTTCCCCAGTTTGAGAAGTGGTTGCAGGACAATTTAACCATCGTGGCTGGTATTTTCATAGGCATTGCACTGTTACAGGTAAGACAAGGCTCCTTTATGGGGGTTGCACGGAAATCTTGCCCTCCCCAGGGCAGGAGCTTCACTTACTCATTTTAGTGTCACAATTTTTAAGACACTTTAGAGGGCTGTGGAACAGACCTGAACTGTGTCGTTTGGATTGTAGTAAAGCCATAATTTTAGATGCTACTATCCTGAAGTACTTTAGGAAACCTTCTTTTTTCTTTTCAAGATGGAGAAATTGCTTGGGTCAGTAGTTGCCTGCTGGCATTCAAGCATTTCCATGAGCTCAATGAATACTGCATGGTGACAGCTGGGGCAGCCAGGAATGATCAGAATCAAAATTCAAATCAAAACCATAATTAGACCCCAGTGGCATGGTTAAGGCTTTCTGGAGTTTCATAGACAGACATGTTGCGCATCTTCCTGTCTCTGGACCACCTTGCCAAAGTGCTACTAGTGAGGGAAGGAAGTGTCCCCCGCTCTAGGCCATCCCAAGAGCTGGGCTTTTCATCTTGAGTAGATGTGATAAATTTTCCTGGAGAGTCACAATGGGGCAGTGGTTGAAGGAAATGAAAGACCACCTAAATAAATGGAAAGCCATCCTTATTCATGAATTAGAAGACAATATTCTTAAGGTGGCAATACTTTTCAAACTCATCTCCAGATTCAATGTAATCCCTATCAAAATTTCACGTGTCTTTTTTGTATAAATAGACAAGTTAATTCTAAAATTCATATGGAAATGCAAGGGGCCTGGAGTAATAAAACAAACTTAAAAAAAACAAACTTGGAGAATTCACACCTTCCAATTACAAATTTAGTGCAACGCTACAGTAATCAAGACAGTACATACTGGCAGAAGGTTGGACATACAGATCAGTGGAATAGAATCAGAAGTCCAGAAATAAACCCATACATCTATAATCAGTTGGTTTTTGACAGGGGAACAAAGACCATTCAAATAGTCTTTTCAGTAGATGGCACTGGAACAACTGGATATCTATATGTGAAAGAATGAATTTGAACCTGCACCTCACACCATGTACAAAAATTTTAAATAGACCAAAGACCTAAATGAAAGAGCTAAAGCTATAAAACACTTTGAAGAAAATACAGGTGTATATCTTTGTGACCTTGGATCAGGCAGTGTTTTTTTATATATGAAACCATAAACAGAAGCAACCAAAGGAAAATTAGATAAATTGAATTTCATCAAAACTAAAAACTGTGCTGAAGGTAGTAACAAGAAAGTGAAAAGACAACCCACAAAATGGAAGAAAATATCTGCAAATCATTATGCCCAGTAAGGATCTAGTATCTAGAATACATAAAGAGCAACTCAACAGTAACAAACCCAATTTTAAGATGGGCAAAGAATTGACTAGACATGTCTCCAAAGAAGGAACATGTACCTAATGAGCACATGAAAAGATGCTCAGCATCTTTGGTGAGGGAAATTCAAATCAAAACCATCATTGGATACCACATCATACATACTAAGTTAGATATAATTAAAAAGGAACACAATAACAAGTGTTGTTGAGGATGTGGAGAAATCGGAAACCTCATCATACACTGCTGAAGAGAATGGAAATGATGCAGCCTCTCTGGGAAACAATTTGGGAATTCCTCAGAAAGTTAAACAGCTACCAAACGACCCACCAGTTCTACTAGGTATGTACCCAAAAGAATTGAAAACATGTTTGCCCCAAAAATTGTACACAGATGTTCTTAGCCAGGACTACTCATAATAGCCAAAAAATGGGAATAGTACAAATATCTGTCAACTGATGAAGGGACAAACAAATGTGGTTTATCCACATAATGGGATATTATGCAAGCATGAGAAGGACTGGACTCCGCTGGTATATGCTACAACATGGATAAACCTCAGAAACATTTTGCAGTATGAAAGCAGATTGACACAGAAATGTCCAGAATAGGCAGTCCATCGAGATAGAAAAAAAGATTAATGGTTGCCAGGGCTATAGGGACTGGGCAGCAGGAATGACTGCCAGTGGGTACTATTGAATTACACTCTTTAAAAGGATGAATTTTATACATAGTATATGAATTATATCTCAATTTTAAAAATGGAAGATAAGAGAAATGGGATTTATTGGCCAATGAAAAGCCTAATAAAGTTAAAGAGTTTCACTGTTTGACTCTCTTCTCCTTACTTCCTCAGATCTTTGGGATATGCCTGGCCCAGAATTTGGTTAGTGATATTGAAGCTGTCAGGGCTAGCTGGTAGAGCCCTGCAGCGGCTGCTACAAGACACTGGACAGACCCGTTCTTCCTGCCCCTCCAGCGCCCGTCGGAATCCCCGCTGCACAGACCTGAACCGAAAAGAGGCAGCCTGCAATCCCGCCTGACGGAGCTGCCAAGGACTTGCTTTTTGGGGGGCACAACCGGGAAATGCTGCTCACTGACAGACAGAATTAAAAAAAACAACCAGTATGGAAGTTGTTGCGCCGTGAATCTCTACTGTAGCCATGAATCTATGGATGGTTGCATACTTACCAAAAAAGAAAAAGGGAGAGTAGTGTGGGGAGGGGGGGTGCCAGATGTACATGAATTTGTGGAAAACACGGGCTTGTTCTCCACTTCGGTGCCTGGAGGGCTGGGAGAGGCAGTTCGCTGGTCACACCTTGAAAGGACTGCCTCCTATTCTGTGGCCTAAAGAAGTGCAGCTTTTCTAAGATTCAACCCCTTCCCCGGAGGCTGTGGTTTTTTGGCTTCCCTTCACCATACATTCCAAGGAACTGTTACAGCTGTTCCAGAAGAACGCAGCTTTGTCTTTGGGTTCCGCTTCTGTGGTCGCATTCAGGTGGCAGTGTGGGTGGGCAAATGCAATCTCTCCCGGAGCGTCTCCTGAGAGAAGCTGTGCACCCCGCGTGCACTGAGTGAGGGCGCTGGAACGTGTTATGATGCTGAATTTTAGCAGGACAGATCTTTTTTCTAAGTAGGCCTGAGCTTTATCAATGAAATCTAAGGAGAAAATGAGGTTGCTGAAGAGGTATTTGTTAAATACCCCCTCACTTCAGCCTACCAAATTAGTTTGGATTCTTTGAAAACTCTGGAATATTCTGGGGTTTGGTTTTGTTTTGTGGTTTTTTTCTTTTGTCTCCCCAAAGTGTAAGCTATGAAACAATTTCTCAGATTTTAAAGTGTTTTCTTACTCAGCTTGGAATATTAATTTTTTAATGTATCTGCCCGCATGACCTGGGAATCTGAACCCACGAGCTCCTTTCCCTACCGTGTTCTGCAATCGTTTATGAATGTCACTGGGTCAGCACTGACCTCACTGGCTGCGGCCTTGAGAGGAGCGTCGCGCCCTCCTGCTGGGGGGGCCCAGCTGTGCCATAGCAGATGCTTCCCTGTGCTCTGCAGTCTCTTCACCTTATCAATGGCCGTGGCCTCTTCTGCAACCTCCCCGTTTCTCTGTGAATGGAATTAAGCCCAATAATTCCAAAACAGTGTTGACACAATCACAGGCTTCTAATGGGTTTTTTTTCTTCCTCTGGTTTCAGTTTGGGTTACAAAAAAAAAAAAGCAAGCAAGCATGGCCAGAGCTGCCGCTGTTCTCTCGGTGCAGACTAACCAGCGGGCTGGTGACGAGGGGTGTGCCCTGGGGGGCAAGCATGCTGTGACATACGGAGAACCCCACCCCCCAGGTGCTCCCGCCTGTCCTCAGCCCACTCCTGGTGGGAGGGACAAATTTTAATCCAAGATTTTAATCCAACTGGTGTCTCTCAGAATGCCACTCTCCTGGGAGCAGACATTAGTCTGTGGAATGCTGAGAAAACCACTGGCATGGTTTATGGTGGAGACACATTTGCCAGCCCATAATTGGGCAGCCAGCTATCATACTTCGTGGAGATTTGCAAGGTTTTCTATTTCAGTCCCCTGTTGCATCGCCATGGCCGATGAATGTGTCAATCTGCCCAGAGAAAGGACAAAATTCTTTAAAAGTCTACTTTCCAGAGTTTGGGTGTGTGTAAGAAACTGCATGTATGTTTTTGTGTCTCTGTATAATTAGAGATGTTCAGTTCATATTCTGGCTTTAAGATCATTTTATTTCATCTCTTCCCCCACCTCAGTTGTCATTCTGTAATATCATTCCAACATGGAAAAGACTTGAGCCCTCCAGTTGGCCTATTGTCTTTTTTATTACCTCATTCTCCAGTGAACTCCCATGTGATCAGTTGATTCAGAATCAGGCAAGACTCCCACCCTTTGGCACATACAGTGAGAGGCTAAATAGCAAGTCCAAATGAGTTCTAAATTTTAATTCATCACCCTTTATTTTTTACACTTGAGAGTGGTTGTGTTAAGGCTGTCATCAATAAACCTGGTTCTGCCTTCCATGGAGTCTGTCTTCATTACTTCTCTCTTAAAATTGTGAAATTCTCGAATCCAGTTGTTCAGCACTTTAGCACGCATCACAGTCCCCTTGGAGGGCTTGTTGAAATACAGAGTGCTGTGCTTGTCCCGCCCCCAGAAATTCTGCTTTACTAGGTGGGCAGTGGGGCTTGAGAAAGCGGCTGAGAAGTCCCCAGGGAACGCTGGTGCTGCCTGTCCAGGAGGTACTGTGAAGCCCTGCTCTGATCCCATTCTCCAAGGGGGACACTTGTGGCTGGGGAGGGAGAGGTCCCTTTGTGCTGCTGGACAAGGACTAATGAGGGGCAGGGGCAGAGCTGGGCATGTGGGAAATCCCTGTCCCTGAGGTCACTGTCTCTGGTCACAATCACCTGGGACCATTACAGGCCATCAAGATTACGGGCCATCAAGCCTTGTCCTGAGCAGTTCTGGAGCTCCCACTGCAAATATAATGATGCTGAGATTTAGGACTCACGGACCTAGGTCAATCTTGATATTCGCACCTTTTTCTAAGAAAGTCATTTCTAGTAGTTGCTTAGAGCAGGAATCTTAAAAACCCATTGGAGAAATACCAATCTAAATGCCCTTTCATTGTGAGTTACCACTGCAGAAGAAGACTTCTGTCTTTGAAGCTATTAAAGACCTTTTTCAGAGATCCAGTGAAAACACAATTAAGGTTCATATGCTATTTTCAGACCCTGACACTATGTCCCAAGACTTGAGAAACATTTTGCCTCCTCTCCCTGGGTATTTGAGACCGACATGTTATTTTGACTTAAAGGAAATATATCGGTAATTGGAGATAACCAATCTGTATTTCTTGAGTTTTCTTAGCTGTGCTGTAGAGATTATCTACATACATGAGGTAATCGGACCGCTTGGCTCACAGCAATCTCTAGGCCAGCAAAGGGGAAATACTACCACTCAGAAGTAAAAGGATATGCTTTGTCTACAAAACTTTCGGGAAGTTTCTTCAGTGTTTAGAAGGTAGACTTTGAACGATGATTGTTAAATTTCTCTCCATTGTTTGGTTACTACAAACAACATAGCTTTCATGGTATGAACTAATACAGTTTTTTAAAATGTAGGAATTAAAAAGTAGAGTTTTCCATCAGAAAGCACTTGTGCCATGACTTCTGTTTTCTTCTTCCTGCCTCCTACCAAGGAATAAACTCCAATGTTTCTTTCAGCTTTCTTCCTGCCTCGGTTCCAGTCACCCATCTCTCAAGGCGATTTGGAAAAGTTGTCTCTTGGCCTTTTCTTACTATGCAAAATGTTTGCTCCTTCATGCCCTGCGTGTGGGTGGAAAGGAATGATTCTGCGGTTCTGTGGGGCTCCTCTCGGCGAGTTTCCGGCCTGCTTGGACAGGAGCCCTGGCAGCCCGGGGCTGAGCAATAAGGAGCTGGAGCCCAGTGACCTGCCTGGCCCTCCCCAGCTCTCTGTCCTTTATTCCGTGAAGCCCTCCTCCAGGGAAGCCCTGTTTAGACCTCCAAGGAAGAATTGGGAGCCTCTCCATAAGCGCTGGCCAGTGGGGTCTCATGGCCTGCCCTTTCCAGTGAGGCCCTGGGGCTGTTTCTGGGTGCTGCTCAGGAGTGGGCAGCCTGGTCTTTGAATGCCAAGGAGAACACGCAGTTTGCCTGGAAGTGCACTAGCTTTGGCCTTACCCCGGTGGTGACCCGAGGAAATCGGCCCATGACGACAGACAAGGAAGATGTATCTGAGCAGAGACAAGCCAAACTCAGGGGACGAAGCCATCTTTAGACTTATTGAGCCTCTCTCCCTATTTTGGAGGCATTTGCAACAGAGGGAATACTTACAAAGTTACAATTTTTAGGACTTCTTTACCTTGAGGACATAAATGCAGCTTCTCTTGGAGTGTTCATGCTGAGTAGCCCTCTCGTCAGCTTGGCGCCCGTGAGAGGACACCCGAGTCAGTCCACTCCTGGTGTCCGTGAGCCCAACCGAAAGGCCTCGGGACCTGTGCTGGTCAGGGCAGTTTACTCCCCCACTCCCAGGAGCTGTGCACCGAGGAAAACCCGAAGGGAGAAGGGTTAGTTCACGGGCTTTACACTGTGTAAATGTGCCCAGAAGAGAAAGCATGCAAACAAGATGGTGCTTCTTTCTCATGCTGCTGCCCTTCACTGAGTGTGGTTGTGGTCTTGAGGGGAGAAAGCTGCCTTCTCCATCCGGAGCTCAAGGGCATTAGCTTGGCTTTTGCAGAGCTGCTGGTTTGGCCTGGAACGTTTTGACGGCCTGCCCTCTGGTGGCCGCCGTGTGGAACAGCTCCTGGCCAGAGTTGGAAGAGTTCCTGCAGGGATAGGGTTGCTCCATCCAGAGGTCCTGGCGCTTTGGAGACCCTTGAGGGTGCACAGCTGTATGCTGCATGCTTGGGGTGAGCAGGTGCTCCGCTCCGTTTACACACTCCTGGAGACGACACAGCTTGTTTTGGAATGTGAGGGAGCGGCATCTGAGCTCCATCCACCATCCGCCTCCTGATCTTGCTGCTGGGACTTTGTAGGGCCCTGTGGCAGAACGTGTGGACCTGCCCTCCTGCCGAGACTCAGAAACAGTTTGTAGAAGAGGCGGAGATGGTCTGAAACTGCTAATCTGCCAGGCAGGCACCCCTCTTGAAACTGTGAATACATTCTTTGTATCTCCTCTAAACACCCATGTGGATCACCTGGAGTTTGCTTGGATCTGAGAATGGGCAACCCTGGCTTCAGAGGTGGTGAGGGCAGCAGGGCGTTGGGGTGGTCGGGGTCATCAACTATCACTTTGTTTCAGGACTTTGTTAGGGGTTGAATTGTCACCCCAAATTCGTGTGCTGAAGTCCTAACCTCAGTACCTCGGAATGTGACCTTATGTGGACATGGGGTTGTTGAAGAGGCTATTAGCTTAAAGGAGGCCATACTGCAGAAGGGTGGGTCTTTGCTCCAGCATGGCCAGTGTTCTAAAACGGGGGAATTTGAACACAGATGCATACACAGGGAGGATGCCATGTGAGCACGAAGGTGGGGATCAGGTGATGCATCCAGAAGCCACAGAATGCCAAGGAGCCGCCAGAAGCGAGAAGAGAGGCAGGCAACCAGTTTTCCCTCAGAGCCTCTAGAAGGAATCAACCCTTGATTTTGGACCTCCACCCTACAGTTGTGAGACAGGAAATTTCTGTGGTTTGAGCCACCCACTTTGTGGCCCTTTGTTACAGTGGCCTGAGGAAGTGAGGGCGGAGTTTGCCTGCTTATTGCTGGTTTGCAGGAGAGAAATGCCAGGACTACTCCAAGGCCCACGTGCTGTGCTTCACTGGCAGCAGGACTAATGTGTGCGTGCCCCTGATTACCTGAATGGATACACCTGGTGTGGCATGGGGCGTGCTCTGTGTACCTGCTGTAAACTCTTAAGAACAGTTTTGATGTTTTGTGGGACATTTTTAACATAGGGAATGCTTTTGTATGATTAAAAATGTATTTGTGGTAACCAACCTTAAATGCAACTTAAGAGTGATTTAAGTCTTATTAAATAAAAAAGCTCTATTTCTAAAATGTGTGCTTTCTTTAGTCTTGTTACTTTGTGACTGACTAGTTCACCAACTCCCTGCTATATTCTACCAGGCATGAATGCATCATCTATCCCTTGAAATAACATGTCCCATTTACCAAAAGTTTACTATGTTCTGGACACTGTCCTGTAAGGACTCTGCATGCATATTTGAGGAAATGTAAACTGAAGGAGAGAAAAGGCCCACACGTGTGGAAAACAGACATCATCAAGAGTTAAATGGGCATCTTCCCAGATGGTGCTGGCTGAGACGGGAAAACAAAGGGGTAATGGAAGAAGGCCTGGAGGAGGAAGATAGACTTGGCCTAGGCTCAGGGGAGCAGAGGAAGGGGTCACAGTAAGGTGAGTGCTGCTGGAGGGATGGGGGAACCCTGAACTCCCAAGCTGCAAGAGTGGAGGAAGTGCTGATAAGCTGTGAGAAAGCCAAGTACGGGGGTCCAGTTCCTGCCACATGCCAGGCACACCCACACTTGCTGAATAGGTTGGTGATTGAGGTGATTGGTAGCCACCTTATTATGGAATGAATTGCTGAACATGCAAAGTAGGATTTTTGGTAAAGCTGGACAGTGTCTGCAGGTAAAATCATTCCCAAAAGTTTGCCAGAATTATCTGTCAAAGCATTTTGTGGAAGGCAAATAAAGTAACAGCCACACACTCCCATGCCCTCCCAGGAAGTTAGTATAACTCTACAAACCTGCAAATCAAATGGCCTTGGAGTTCTGCAAGGCAGCAAGAAATACCTTATTTTCTCTTTGGGCTGGAACCCAACTGTTTCCTGCATCCAGTCCCACTGTCCCTGTGGGATTCTTGTGGTTGGGAAAGGGCACGGTGGTCCCCGGCACTGTGGCATGGGGCGCTGGTGCTGAGGCACGTGGAGGCTGGATGTGATTTTCTTGCTTTTCAGGCTGAAGCTTTAGAGCAGCAGCTCTCAGCAACTGATGCACATTAGAACCTTATGGGAGCATAAAACCCAAACCAAAGCGAGCACTGCAGCTCTTTGCAGTGCCTTGTTAAAGCTCCTGGGTAATTTGCACGGGCACCAGGCTTTCTCAAGCTTTCACATACCTGGATCACCTGAGTTTTATTTCACCTGGGTCACCTTAAATCACTTGGGTTTGATTCAGCAGGTCTGGAGTGGAGATGGAGAGCCCCTGGCTCTAGCAGGCTCCCAGTTGACACTGACGTCATCTGCAGACTGCGTTGGAGAGGCAAGGAAAGTCACAGGCCTTATTTACAGCTGTGAAAAACTAATGCCCTGCCATGGAGATTTCTAGGTGATGTCTTTCCTAAAGCTGCTAAGCTGAAATTTTCAGGTCAGGGAAGAAAAATACAGAATGACTGTAAATAGGTAATATACATATATGTACTAAATACATTTCATTCTGATTACAAAAGAAAAATCTCAGTGCAGAAAACAGGAAAAATACAAA